CCTGTTGAAACCCATCTCATCAACCCTGTTGACATATTCTCTAATACTCGTCGGTTTATGCAAGAATAATCTTGGGAATTTACAGACATGGTGGGTTATTTGCGACGAACTAATACCACAACTCTTCATAAATTCAATATTGGGTATCATTGTTTTCGCCAAATCATGCCCCAAAAGCCTCCTAGATCTCTTTAAAGCCATAGGCACATCCATATTTGAACCCAAAACACTCTTCAATGCTAAAATTGACGGACCAAGCCGATCAACGCTAGTAGCTAGAATCCGTGGGTGAGACGAAACAATTTCCACAACATCGCTAGAAGAAATACCCAAGTCTTGTAAAAACTTGAATTTGGGTTTGATGGAGCGCTCAAGATTTGCAGAGAGAACTTGAGGCATGCGTTTGATGAGAAGCTCGAGATGGGTATCCGCAAAACCACTTTCCTGGAGAAATGAAAGAACCGAATCGGTCTCTTCGGGCCTTTTCAGATACTTTACGACGGAAGAGACTTTCGAAGCAGTTTCAGCAGAAAATTTGTATCTATCAATCAAGTAATCGGCCACCGGAATGGGGCTTTCTGGAGAGAAGAGGGAAGAGAAAAGAGAGATTGGGGTTTTGTTGAGTTGTGAAGTGTTGTTGAGAGAGAGTGAGATGAGACTTTTGCAGATATAAATAGTCCTCATTTCTTGAAAATACACACACATATAATATGCTATCAATCAAAGCGAAGAGTGTAGAGATGAGTACTTGCCTGTAAAGTGGGGAGCTTCGTCGATTTGCAGTGATCTCTCTCTCTGATTCTCAAAGAACAGTGTGCCCTAAACCTAGTTCGAGCTCTGTAAGTTAGGCTCATTTCCAAATAAAAAAGAAATTATCGGGCCTTTAGCTGACTGGGTGTAAGAAGTAAAGCTCAATGGGCCACGTAATAATTAGGCCCATCAACCTCTCTTGCTCTATAACCGAGGTTTAAAAAAAGATAAATTACACTCATCTTCCTTGATATTTGAATAAATATGGACCGATTAGGCAAAACCTGAACACTGCCTCCACAATTAAGCATATATGGATCCTCTTAGCCAGGAAAAAGTGGATTGGGCTAATTAGCCGAAAGCCTAACCTGGAGGCTAATCAAAAAGCAATGACATAAACACAAGGATGGATCCAAACTGGGCCTATATGTGTATAAAAGCCTAATACCAAGCCCAAATCTACTCCAGAGAGGATGGAATATTCAGTATGGGAGGGATATCAGAATCCCTTAATATTATCATTATTCATAGGAATTATATAATTTAAAAAATAACATATTTGGTTCGGTTCCAAAGGATCTGAAAACGAACCGTTACTCAACGGTTCTATAAATTTGAACTAAAACTGGACTAGTGAGGAACCGGAACCGAAGCACTGATTCGGTTCGATTCCAATCGGTTCTCCAGTTCCACTAGTTCTTTGTGCACTCGATTTAAACTAAGTCCTTTTTATACACCGGATGGTGCATAGAATAGGAGGATATTCAATCTCCTTTTATATGAAGGGAAATTATGGTATAAAAAATATTAGAACTAAATTTTGTATGATGTAGGGGTAAAGAGCAAAAAAATCCTCCTAAATTATGTCCAAATTTGCAAATAAGCCCCTAAAATATTTTTTGTGCGTAAAACCCCTGAGTTATCACATTTAGTTACAAAATGCTCCATTACCTTGACTATTTTTCATTAAATGACTATAGTACCATTTGTTGTTGAATTACATTCAATCTATTTTTCTTGTTGAAATAAATTACGAAAAAAATTCATACTAATTTGATAAAATATTCTCTATTAAATTTGTATAATTTTGACTTTTATTTTGAAATTAATTATTTAAATAAAAATCTTAAGTAGAATATTTTCAAATAACTTAAGTAATTTCTTAATTTTTCATGAATATATTGCATAAAAAAAAGCTATTTTTTATTTACGTAATTTGTTAATACTGCATAAAAAAGAAGATATTTTTTTACACAATTTTTGTTTAAGTGAGTATAAAAAAGTTTTATTAAATAAGTTAATCATTTTAAAAAATGGTAGCTATTAATCTATTTATTATTTTTCATTTTTATGGTAAATTGATACGGATTATAAAATTAAGGTAAATGGTATAATTAATTTTTGAATAAGAGAAAATATAATTAAAATAATTTACTAAGAAATGACAATTTTAATAAGAAAGAGTAAAATAGTGATGAGTTCGTCCTTAATTGCAACAAATTAATAGTTCAGTGAGACAATCTTTAGTTCAAGAGGTTATTTGTAAAATGGCCCTAGTTAAGTGGTTTTTTGCACCTTACCTTGTGGGGATTCTATTATAATTTAATTTTTAGAAAAAAAGGAAATGGAATGTCAGTGGAGCGCCAATATCAATTTCTTTTTTGTTTTTTTTTTTTTAAATCATGCCAATTTTTTCCAATCACAACAGGCAACCTTTTAAGAATGTGCAATGGTGTCAAAAAATGACTTGGTCACCAAGCCAACTTTATTCATGTTTATGTCATGCAGGATTCATGGTCTAATATTAAAAGGACCACTTTTCATGTGACCCCACTCCATATTTTTTAAACGAAGTCTTCAATCTTATTTCCAAGCCGCCATGAAATGAAACAGCCAAGAACTTGCAGTGACAAAACTTGCTTGCTCTCCACGCCCATACTTGTGTATAAATAGCTTCTTTAAGCCCCCCAAAACCTTATCATCACAAAATCCAATTGTCAAAAGACAATCCAGTTCTCACACACAATTTCGGCTTTGTTTTTCCGGCCATGTCTTTAGCCGGAGCTAATCTTGCTGAAGTTTACGTTATGCGAAAAACCCACAAGGAGAAAATGAAGATAACATCAAAGAAGGCGGCCAAAAGGGAGGTAATTGAAGATCATGAAAGTGAAAATTCACAAGGTTGCTTCTTTTATATCTTCAAGAAGATTTTTCCGACCGACATGCCATCGCCAAAATGCGACAGAGGAGAAGCTGTGAGATTATAGACCATTTATAAGGTTCAGATGAATTAAATTTGTAATCACTGTCGGTTTGTTCGTTTAAAGGATTGGAGTCCAATCACAAAAGGCTAAACTTTGCATGTTACCTTAGCTTTCCGGGTTGTATCTATATGGAATATGGTGTACTAATTAGATACCATATTTCATAGTGAAAAACTGAAAAGTTGACTCTGTTTACATTTTGCAGTAATTTATATTGAACTTTAGTTATTTTATTTATGTACCAACTTTATTCTTGACTCGCTTTTTCTTCTTTATTTGTGTTCTATTTATGATTTGGAACCTTTGTATAACTAAAAGAAATTTCGAGTTGAGAAATAGGGAATTCATAGCTTAACCTTGGATTGTGTTGGTCATGTTTTTTGGAAATAATTATAGAGTAAATAAAAATTGGATCTCTCAATCTAATGGAAGTCTGAAAATTTGAAAAGAAAATTTGAAAAAGGGAAAAGGGAATGTTAAATTAAGATCACGGCCATAATCATTGCCTCACACAAAATGAGAAAGCTTGAGCAAGATATAATACCTATCAGGATTACTCAACATGATGCCTCAATTGAAAATTTGAAAAAGGGAAAAAGAAATGTTAAATTAAGGATATATTTCAACAAATTTGAAATTAGACAGCCAGCTGGAAAATTAATCCATGTTTTTCTCTGCAGTACGAGAAAAGAGTAGCTACTTACCTGCCATGCTATGCCTCAAAGTCATTTGCTTTCTGGAAAAAAGATTCAGTCTCAGCCTGCCCCTAGGTATTAAATCATTAAGTCACGAATGATATCATGATCTTAAGCACATATTTCTGCTTTCAACGAGCCACAAATAATTGGCCAACTTCATTTGAATGAGGGACTACATATTTCTCAAAGAACTTCTTATCAGTCATCCTGCATACAGTCCCCAAACTCGGCTTTTTAAGAAGCAAATTCCTGCTTTCCAAAACCTCCAGAACTCTTAGCCGTGGCTTAAGCCTATTCTCAACACTGTAAGTAAGTAAGAGTGGGTTATTAACAACATATGAGATATCACATTTACCCGTGCTAAGGAAAAGCTGTGTTGAGATGTGAAGAATTGTTGAGAGAGAGTGAGATGAGACTTTTGCAGATGTATATAGTCCTCATTTCTTGAAGATGCACACACATATACTAATATGCTATCAATCAAAGCGAAGAGTGTACAGATGAGTACTTGCCTGTAAAGTGGGGAGCTTCGTAGATTTGCAGTGATCTCTCTTTCTCTCTCTGATTCTCAGAGAACAGTGTGCCCTAACCCTAGCTCGAGCTCTGTAATTTAGGCTCATTTTCAAATAAAAAATATTAACTAAGACCTTCCCGCACTGACCTAACTCTATTAACTACCAGCATTCCATCTAATCCCTTTGAAATGTACAATCTAAATCCAGATAAGGAATCATAATTGATCTCCTTATCAAATGGTAACATAACTGAAGAAATCATCCGAGGCACAGCCGAGAAACCCAATACTCGAGTGAGTATTGCATATGTATCATTCACCTTCTCCGCACTCAAACTCTCATTCACCCGCAGCCTCAAGTCCCTCTCAAACGCCTTCTCTGAAGGGACAAATATAGTAAATTTTAGATCTTTAGGCAACATATCAACCATCATTTCCCCAAATTTCCCTATACTATCCACATAAACCTTCTCAAATCTATTGAATCTATGGGGTCTTAAGGCAAGAATTGTACTATTTCCCACTGATACCTCTGGAAGCCTAAGCATCGAAATAGTCGTAACCGAAAGGCAAGAAACATAGATCACTACACAAACAAAAGCCACTGAATTCTTCAAAAAACTTCTTAGGATCTTCATTTATAATCTAATGGCTTCTAAATGATATTTCTCAAGAAAATTTACTTTATGAGCTAGAAATTACAAAATCAAAAGTGTTATTCTTAGAAATTATCTATATTTATCATTCATCAAAAGGAAATCAGGTTTCAAGTACCGTTTGTGTCGTAGTTTGCGGAAAGCGAAGATCAGAGAAAGGGGACTGAGCTAGCTTCTGCGTCCATGGTGTCTAATTCTAGCTGAGTGGACTGTATTTTATCTGAGGACTACAAATTACTCGATTAAATCAAAATCATATCGGAACATTTCTGTTTAGGAAAGAAAAGAAAATATAAGTTTGAATCTTAGATGAATTACCTGAAACTGAAAGTCCCTGGGTGATAGAGATCGTGGATTGCAAATTTCCCTTCCCTCTCTCGTAGTAAATCTGGGCAAGGGCAGATCCAGGATTTCTCAATGGGGTGGGCTAAATCAAAATATATCAACCAAAATCAACTGTTGTTTAATTCAATTTTAGTTAACTAACAATGTTTCTTTAGACAATTGACTGATTAAGGCATAGGAAATCCTATTTGGGATTTTAATAAAAAAAAATTACCAATTTATTTCTGAACAATTCACCACTCAATGCCCTATCTCTTCTTTTGACCAATTTACTAATCCTATTTGAGAATCTACTTGTGGAAGCAGAGTGTGAGGTGGTTCATGGCAAGCCCCTTCCAACACTACGGAATTCACCCAAAAGCATGCTTTTTGTAAGTATTTTAATTTTCAAGAAGTAACTTTAGAGCTTTACCCTATATTAAGTACTTTTGCTTGTCAAAGTTCTTGTTATGATTTTTTTTTTAGTTCTGAAAATATTTCCATTTTCAAATAAAAATTGTTTCAGATTCAATCTCTCTGCAGATTTCTAATCCAGTTCAGATTCTTTTTTTTTTTCTCTTTCTTTTTTCATGCCCAGATTCAAATTTTCTTGTAGACATAATGACACAGAAAAAAAAAAAAAAAAAAACAGCAATAGAAGTTATAGAAATTTTAAAAAAATTTATTTGTTTTGCTGAAATAAAATGTAGATTACGGTGATTACCTCAAAATGCAATGCAATGATTACCTCAAAATACAATGCAAATTTTGTTATTATATTGTTAAAAAAAAAATTATATAAAAAAGATCATAAAAAATTTCACCAAATAGGATTTAGTTTGCAAAACAAGAATTACAGACCTTGATTAGTTGATTTAGAAAAAAAAAAAAAAATTAAAACAAAACCCATACATACAAGTTAGCAGTTGCAGAGAGAGAGGGAGGGGGGCAAGCTTGAGAGTTGAGAGACAGCGGGCCAGCGGCTGAAGCTTGCGAACTGCGAACCCGAACTGGAACAGCGGGCGATGGAAACTGAAAGATATGGGTTTTGATTTTTGAACAATCTGAAATGATATACCGATATGGGTTTTGATATAGGTAATAGGTTTTGAACTTTTGATTCTTGCAGACAGACATATAAACTGAAATATATGGGTTTTGAACTTCTGATTCTTGTAGTTTGCAGTTGCAGAGAGAGAGAGGGGGGGCAAGTTCGGAGTTGAGAACGAGAATAGAGATGGAGGCGATTGGGGAGGCTGAATTGATTTGCCCTAAAAATATTTTTTTAGAAAGTGGACTGATCTAGCTTCTGCGTCCATGGTGTCTAATTCTAGCTGAGTGGGCTGTATTTTATCTGAGGACTACAAATCACTCGATTAAATCAAAATCATATCCGAACATTTCTGTTTGGTTGGCGAGAAATCGCAGGAAAAATGAAAGAAAAGAATATATAAGTTTGAGTCTTAGATGAAGTACCTGAAACTGAAAGTCCCTGGGTGATAGAGATCGTGGACTGCAAATTTCTCTTCCCTCTCTCGTAGTAAATCTGGGGATTGATAGCCTCAGACCTTGAAGATTATTGTACCGTTTCAATTGCGAAAAAAAATCATTAACTGAAAGTTCGTGGGAGAAGTGGGCCAGATTCAAAATGACCTGTATCTTGGATCTATATTGGGCCAAGGCCCTATAGAAATTGGCCCAACTAAAATGAAGCTCCAGCTTGATTGTTGATCTCAAAGGCCATTCGGAGTATCTTTTTACCCTTTACTCAGAATAGGTGTTTACTTTTTACTCAAATAATCTTTTACGGTGTGTATGATGTTCATCAGCTTATCGAGCTATTTTTTTAAGAAATAAATAAAAGTAAGGCATGATGTCATGCCTGTCGATGGAGTCGTTCCTCTTATGAGATCAAGGTAGGTCGAAATCAGTCAGCATATAGTCTTGATATGCCCAGATCGTACGGGCTGACCAATCGCTTGTGCGAGTAGAAGTAATGCCTTGATGCTGGACTGTGACAATAAGCTTTCTTTCTCTTTGCTAATTGCTGAAGTGGAAAGAGAAATGAAAAAAATCTTTAGGCGAAAATAAAGTGTTTTTGGTGTTTTGTTTACAAAATTTTAAAACTAAAAATAATTTGACCAAACATATTATTAACTGGGACTTTTTTTTTTTTCCCTCTATTTTTTTATGGCATTCTTACATAAATATATAATAAACATTGCTAAACCACCCCCAGAAGTTACTCATTTTCTTTTATATTATCCAAACGGATGGTATATTGGGCCGTTCCCCAGATTCACACTTTCACAGCCCACACAACTAGTAATATCTAAGAGGTCTCACAGACTTGGTCGTCCTGGGTAGGGCTGCAAGTTGGGTTGGCCCAACCCATCACAGTCTCAACCCAATCTCAACGTGAATCGAGTTGGGTTGGGTCAACCCAAATTGTACTTAATATGGGTTATGGTCAAAACCTATCCCGAATGTTTTCGGGTTGGCGGGTTGAGTTTTTTTTTTTTTTTTAAATTCAAATATATATATATATATAGATATATATTTGATTATATTATTATTAAAAAACAAAAAAAAATTAGGGCAAATCATTTAAGCATCCAGATTTCTCAACTCTCTCTCTTTCTTTGCAACTGCAAGTGAGTGATTATAGATCTGTCTGCAATAAATATTCAAGAAGTGACCATTAACAAATTAAAAGGAAACCCCTAGAAATTAAAGAAAGAAATGATTAATCAATAAATCAAAACTAAGAGTAAGAAACAGAACCTGAGCTTAAAAGGGCAGATCCAAACCAGAGAAGATCGTGAGCAAACAAGAGTTAAGCAATCGAATTCGAAACGTGAACTATTGAATGATTCAGCTGAAAACATGAACTATGGAATGATTCAGCTAAAATAAATGCCGTATGGAAGAAAGTTTTAGAGATTATCCAGAGAGAATCAAATGATTTGATCAATCTATTTACTACAAAAAGTAAAGAAATCAAAATTACTTCAGTTGTAGTAACTAATTTATTAACAGCTTTCATATTAGAATTTTTCCTTCTATTGTATTAGTTTATATTTGAAAATCTAACAGATCTAGTAGCAACATTGATAGGCAAAGTATAACAGATCTAGCGGCCGTGGCGGCGAATCAGCAATGGCAGGGACGACGGTTGAGAGAGAAAGAGAAAGAGAAAGAAGAGAGAGGAGAGAGAAAGGAGGAAAAAAAAAAATTTTAATTTTGGGTTTTGGGTTGGGTTGTTGAGCTCAAGCCCAACCCGAAAATGTTTGGATTTTGACAAAACTCAACCCGAACATAACTCGATTTGTGAATTATATGTCCAAATTGTAAAATTTATGGGTTAGGGTTGGGCTGGGCTGGATTACCGCCCAAGTTGCAGCCCTAATCCTGGGTCTGTAACGCTTCACTCTACTCAAAAGCCTTCAACTTTGATTAGAAACCAGTTTCAGACAAACTCTAGTAGTTCGAAATGCAAGAAAAGAAGGGAGATATGGCATCCAACGACACCGCCACCCCCGCAAACAAAAACCCTAAAAAGGCGAATCTGTTAGATCATCATTCCATCAAACACATCCTTGACGAATCGGTTATTGACAGGGGCGGAGCCAGGATCTTAAGGTTGGGGGGGCCAAAATTTTAAGCAACATTACTTAGTTAGAACTTTTGAAAAAGAATTATATATTATTTAGGCAAAAATAATTTATTATTTTTTTATATTCACACAAAAATATGTTTATCTAAACTTTTGCCAAATTATTAAAATAAAAAAAAAAAAAAAAAAAAAAACTAGTTATTTAAAGAAATTTTTTATCAAACTTTCTGAACAAAACACAAATAAGATTTGTGCTAAAATTATAGAAAATTTCAATTGAACAATTAGATTTTAATTTAAAAATAAAAAATTCATTTAATACTTACACAAATTAATAATCATTACACAATATATCAATAAAAGAACAAACAACAATAAATCAATTTTGACTAACTTAAATCAGAGAATATTGGCAACTAAAAAGAAAAAAAAAGAAGAAGTGATAAATAAACTTTTTTACTTTTTTAGAAACTTATTTGAGATGCAAAACAAAACTATATTATTGAAAAATGCATATATTGTCAATACATGTGTCACGTGTGCAATGAAATTAGAGTTTTTTTTTTTCGGAAGTTACAATGAAATAAGGGATTGTAATGATATAATCTTTCTTTGTGTGTGAAACTTGTCTCTCTACGCTCTCTCTTAGGAGAAATATGGCAAACAAATTCAAGTGGGGAACAAAAAGGTCAAAAGTGTAGATGAAAAGCATAAAATAGTATTGTGAAAATAGGTAATTTAAAACCAAAATATAATAACAATTGAAAATTTAACAAAGCAATAACAATGATAAAAAAATACAAACAAATTAATAAAATAAGAATTTAGATTCTTCAATCATCGATTTTTGTTGATATTCAAAACTTCAAATGAAAATTTTCCTCTAGATTTTGTAAAAATTAATTTCTTATAGAATTCCAATAAAAATAAATAAATAAATAAAAAGTAATGGAAAGAAGCATGTATGAGATGGAATTTTAGGATAATAAGGCTATGGAAAAAATCGTGTTTGAGTTGAAGGATTTTAAGAGAGTCACGTTATGAAAAGAACGATATTTAAGTTGAAATTTTAAGATAGCCACATTAAATTTTTATGTGAGTCATTTTTTATCGGGATTCTATAGTTATCAATTAAATCACTTTCTTGTAGATTATACATATAAACTATATTTTGTTAAATACTAATTAAAGAAAGATTTTTTTTATTTTTATTTTTCTTCTTAGGTGGCCAAGTATAGATTTTAGAACCGTGGATACATTGAAGATGTGAGGATGAGTAACGTTAGATTGTTGATGGGAACGATCATAATCATTATCGCTCTCGTTGCTCAGTTTTACAAGAAGTTCTCTGTAAAACTATGTTGTGTAATGTAATCGTTCAACTCTTTTGACGTGTGATTTGAACTAAATAATATAATTTTTAAAGTATCCAGTTCGTTTTATAAATCTTGAAGTAACTACTATTCTGAACCGAACATATAACATTTCATAGGGCACCACGTGGGAGGGTCATGTGGGAGGGTTGTGGACCGTGATGAAGCAAATAACTTGCGCTGAATTGTAAGGGATCGGGACTCTTTATGCGCATGTTTGTTTTTGTTGCATTCCAATGCTCATTAGCCTAAATTTATGTTTTCCTTGCACCAGTGTAAATGATTAAGGCGTGTACACAACAATGAGAATGATACGAGGAGAACTATAGTAGTAAAACTAGGGCCAGAAAAAGGCAAGGAATGTGTCTAGAATTGAATGCCTTTTCTGCTTATTTCATGATGGCTTCTGTAATCAAAATAGAAGAGGTGAATATAAATAATTGAATAGAGAAGATAAAAAAGAAAAATAAAAAAAAGAAGTGAAGTTCGAAAGTTTTCGTCACTTCAGTCATACAAAATGAGGCGGGGAGATAAAAAAGAAGGGAAATAAATGGTAAAGACAGACCTCATCAAAACTATATTATTGCGAGTAGGTCATATTTACTCAGAATTGAGCAACTTTATCGTTACACTGTTACCTTCAAGGTGATAATCTTTCTCAAAAATATTTTCTCCTGTTATGATCATCTTGAGATCGATACAAAAAACTGAATAAAACTACATATTTGATTGTATGACATATTATCATCGTCTCATGCTATATGGTGTTAAACCATCTAATAATTTTTTTTAGAAAAAAATACTATCACAACCAAGGGCTGATGTAGGGATAGTTTTGAGCCAAAAAAAAAAATAAATAAATAAAAAATACTAATTTTAGCCCAGTAAATATATATATATATATTAATAGTATTAGCCCACCAAATCAAGCCCAAGTCAAATCTGCCCACCATACTAAAATAAATGCCCAAACCAAATAAGCCCAGGGCCGACCCTGGCTAAAGGCGGTCACTTAGGACCTCAAAATTTATGGGGTCTCAAAAATTATAGGGCCATGGATGATGGGCCACCAGGAAAAAAAAAAAAAAATTTAGGGCAAATCATTTCAGCCTCCCCAATCGCCTCCTTATCTTTCAGTTTCCATCGCCCGCTGTTCTAGTTCGAGTTCGCCGTTCGCAAGCTTCAGCTGCTGGCCCGCTGTCTCTCAACTCTCAAACTTCCCCCCCCCCCCCCCCCCCCCGCGTCCCCCCTCTGTCTGTGCAACTGCTAACTTGTATGTATGGGTTTTGTTTTAATTTTTTTTCTAAATCAACTAATCAAGGTCTGTAATTCTCATTTTGCAAACTAAATCCTATTTGGTGAAATTTTTTATGATCTTTTTTATATAATTTTTTTTTTTTAACAATATAAAGTAAAAAAATTTGCAATGCTTTTTGAGGTAATCATTGCGTTGCATTTTGAGGTGATCACGGTAATCTACATTTTATTTCAGCAAAACAAATATATATATATATATATATATATATATATATATATATATATATATTTTATTTCTATAACTTCTATTTCTGTGTTTTTTTTTTTGGTTGTTGTCAATTATGTCTACAAGAAAATTTGAATCTGGGCATGAAAAAAAAAAAAGGAAAAAAAGAATCTGAATTGGATTAGAAATCTGCAGAGATTGAATTTGAAACAATTTTTATTTGAAAATGGAAATATTTTCAGAACTAAAAAAAAAAATCATAACAAGAACTTTGACTGACAAGCAAAATTACTTAATATAGGATAAAGCTCTAAAGTTACTTCTTGAAAATTAAAATGCTTACAAAAAGCATTCTTTTGAGTGAATTCCATAGTGTTGGAAGGGCTTGCCATGAACCGCCTCACGCTCTGCTTCCACTAGTAGACTCTCAAATAGGATTATAAATTGGTCAAAAGAAGCGATAGGGTACTGAGTGGTGAATTGTTCATAAATAAGTTGGTAATTTTTTTTATTAGTTACCCAAATAGGATTTTCCATGGCTTAATGAGTCAATTGTCTAAAAAAAATTGTTAGTTAACTAAAATTGAATTAAACAACAGTTGATTTTGGTTGATATATTTTGATTTAGCCCACCTCATTGAGAAATCCTGGATCCGCCCTTGATCACAACATTGATTTTAGATCATCATAAATCACTTTCAGAAAAAATGCTAGTTTGGATAGACTTTTGATGATAAGAAATCACAAAGAGTGTGGAGATTGTGACAGAAGTGAAAAGATAAAAGAAAAAAATCTTTAGGCGAAAATACAGTGTTTTTGGTGTTTTGTTTACAAAATTTTAAAACTAAAAATAATTTTACCATACATATAATTAACTGTGACCTTTTTGTTTTTTTTTTTTTTTCCCTCTATTTTTTATGGTCTTCTTACAGAAATATATAATAAACATTACCAAACCACCCCCAGAAGTTACTCATTTTCTTGCATATTATCCAAACAGATGGTATATTGGGCTGTTCCCCAGATTCACATTTTCACGGCCCACACAACTCACAATATCTAAGAGGTCTCATGGACTTGGTCGTCCTGGGTTTGTAACGCTTCACTCTACTGTCTTCAGCTATAATCAGACACCAGTTTCAGACAAACCCTAGTAGTTCGAAATGCAGGAAAAGAAGGGAGACATGGCATCCAACGACACCACCACCCCTGCAAACAAAAACCCTAAGAAGGCGAATCTGTTGGATCATCACTCCATCAAACACATCCTCGACGAATATGTCACCGAGGTGATTCGCAATTCACGTTTAGTCCACGCAAAATTCTTCCTTCTCTCTCTGCATATATGTATATGTGAACTGAGGTCATTGATATGTAGAATTCTAGGGTTTTATGGTTGATCTGTGGCATTTATTTCGTAGATTGTTACGAACCGTGGATACATTGAAGATGTGAGGATGAGTAACGTTAGATTGTTGATGGGAACGATCATCATCATCATCGCTCTCGTTGCTCAGTTTTACAAGAAGAAGTTCCCTGAAAACAGAAATTTTCTGATCGGCTGCATCATATTATATCCTCTAGTGACATTTTTTTTGTTTAATATTTGATGTATTTTGTCGTCTGTTTTGTTTGCTGAATACACACTAGAAAAGAGAATCAATTGAACATTTTGAGTCTCATTGAGTTTCTGTCTCTTTATCTCAACACACACACACACACACACACAAAAAACTGTGTGAAGATTCATTTGATTTATTATCCCCGCCCTGGGTTTAGAACTGAGAGAAAGAAAATTAAAATTTTGAGCTTCATATAATCTCTCTCTCTTAATTAAAAAAAATTCACTCTTTTAATGTCCTAAAATTTGAAATTTGGAATCCAGTTGAACTTGCGTGAGATGTTCAAGTATTATATAAATGTCACTGTTTTAGAATGTGTTTGATCTTTGACTCTGGCAAGTATATTGTATTCAATGGGTTATTGCAGCTGATCATATACACCAAGGAAAAGAATGCAATTTTGTTTACCTATCCTCCTACTGTAAGTACGCCTGTTCTTCCAAATGGAAATTTAATTGTACTGGTTTCGCTTAGTGAATGTATTTATATTTGTCTTTGTCTCTAGACCTTATTTATTTTTTAATGTTTGCCTCCTCCTGTGCATAATTGTTGTTGTTATTTTTTTTTTTCTTGGGTACAATGGTGGCATCCCCCAAATCCGTTACACTCCTTATCCCCCTCCAATATAAATAAAATAATAAATAAAAATAAAAATAAAAAAATAAAATTTCTTGTTAATCGGTGTTGCATATGTAAGCAGGACGGGGAGTCAATCGATCATCTCCTAATGCATTGCTTTGTAGCGCACGATTGCTGGAATTTTATTCTTGGCCTATTTGGCATGTGTTGGGTAATGCCACGTTCTACTAAGGAGTTGATTCATGCTTGGAGAGGTTGTCGTGTGAGTAGGAGTGTTCATGATTATTGGAGATCTGTATCACATTCTATTTGGCGGTGCATCTGGAAGGAGCGAAATAGTAGAATGTTTGAAGGGAAGGAGTTGTCTACAGCGACACTGAAACTTTTTATTATTCGTTTTCTCTTTAGTTTTGTGAACAGAAGTTCTTGTTCCTATTCTGATGATTTAATTTCTTTTTTGGATTCTTTGGGGCCTTAGATCCCGTTTTCTCTTATGTTTATGGGACACGTTCCCTTATTGAAAGCCTTTTTTAATTTATTATTATTTATCAAAAAATAAAAAATACAAATAAAAATAAATAAATAGAAAATAAGAACCTCGACGAAGGTAGTCTCTGGTATGACTACCCAGAGACTTTACCAGCTAGGGCTTCTGGTGCCTTCCTTCTTTAGTCTACTGATCATCTGGATAAGAATAAGAACAAACTTGGAATAATATAATTAAACTAATTCTAATCTAATTATTCTAAAGGTTGATTGCGTAAATACTATTGCGTCTCTAGGAGAGACTTCAATATGTTTATAGTTTCCTGGATGAATTTAAGAGAGAAGAGTTGTCAAGTTAGTCTGCAAGTATCCTATGAATTTTAGAGAAAGTATACAATACCCCCGGGGTATTTTGACATGTGGTACCCCTCCCAATGAAAGCTCTATTTTCCTTGATAATAGAGAAGTGTTTTCATAGGGAGGGGTACGACATGTCAAATTACCCCTAGGATATTGTATAATTTCCCATAAATTTAAGCACTGTGTTACGCCTTGATGATATCAGATTAGCATATCTGCTACTGGAAAAAATGGTTCTGCTCATCATTGAAACTTTTGTATGATCTTGTCAATTGTTGTGAATTCTAGGTTTACTTATGCTATACTAATTCATTTATTAGTTTTGAATTTGTTTTGAAGAAATTCTATAAAGCAAGTTGGAAATTATGCATCTTGACTTCGATGGTGTAAAAGTTAACTGCCTCTTTTTGACCACTTCACTTCTTAGTTTTGAAATTCTGAGAAAGTTGGAAATTATGCATCTTGACTTTCATGGTGTAAAAAGTAACTCCATCTTGTTGACCTTCTACATCTCCAGAAGATATATTTGTACAATTAAGCATGGCTTCTTTTTGGTAGTCTTTAAATTATGGAAGCCTGTCTTCAATAGTTCTTCCTATCTTCACAGTACTACGTTGTCTGTTTTAGTTGCAGTTTCCATCTTGTTATTGTGTTGTACTTGTTGTTGGGAGTAGGAGGGGAGTTGCATGTGGGTTTTGATATATTAGGGGCTGGGCATTCTTCATTGTTGATTCATTTTACTTTTTCCTAGCACTTAGCGAGGCGACTCTTATAACTTCTCGTTAACTATGTGTTGTGTTAGTAATTAGTACCACATCACGGTTCACGTGTTACCTTAGCCATTTCTGGCAAGCGAGGGAAGTGTACAATTATTTTAATGTTTCTATTAAATTAACAGTAATCCACTATGTGTTGTGTTAGTAATTAGTACCACATCACGGTTCACGTGTTACCTTAGCCATTTCTGGCAAGCGAGGGAAGTGTACAATTATTTTAATGTTTCTATTAAATTAACAGTAATCCACTTCTCTGAACACTTTCATTTACATTAAACTAAGTACTCTCAGTACAAAGATGCGTTGAGTTCATAGTTGTTAAAGGCTATAAGGTCTCCTGGGGCCTGAGGTGCAAGGCGAGGCGTGGGCGTAACTAAACCAAGGTGCAAGTTGCACAAAGCATGTGAATATTTTTTTATATAACATTGCAAATAATGCAGGATAAAAAAAGGCTATCATATCATACATATGTATATATCATATATATATATATGTATATATCATATAATATGATATATCACCCTATCTAAATGAATACATGGCAAAAGAGTGTGACGGCAAACAAAGATATTTGGATAATAAAAAGCAGTGTCCAGGCTAGTAACAAGAAGAATTATTAATAAAGCATAAATGCAGCATCATTGCTAAAAAAAACTATGCCTCATTGCAATATAAAAGTAGAATTCTCCGAGAGAGATAGCCAAAAAAATTTGCAGACTTGTAGGAAACATATTTGATGAAAATGAAAATCATCATCAGAAAATGTAGTCAACTCAAGAAAAGTTAGGCAAAAAAAAAAAAAAAAAAAAAAAAAAAAATCATTGATGCAAAAAGGAAACAAGGCTGAAGAGAAAAAAAAGAAAAAGGAAGAGGCAATTAAGAGGAAGATTTGGGAATTTGTTGAACCGGAAAAAAAGAAAGAAAGTTGTGAGCACAGAAAAAAGCAGAGAAAGGAAACCTGAAGGCTGAAGCAGAACCAGAGCTGCTGCTGTTAAGAAGAGTTCTAATATTGTGTAGTGAAGACTACTGTATAATGAATGATGATGTGGAGCAAATATCAGATGGCAGTAAATATATATGAGTGAAGAAAATACTAAAAGAAGTTAAGAGGCACTGTACAAATAATAAAAGCAGCACTAAAAGGATTAAAAGATGCAATTTAGGGAAAAAAGTATTAAAAGAAGCATACTTATCCAAAAAAAAAAAAAATATTAAAAGAAGCGTAAAAATAATAAAAGAAGTTTGAGTTAAAACCCAAAGGTGTAGTAAATTTGAAAAGAAGAGAGTTAAGTCAGGCATGCCTTTATTGCCCCTGCCGCCTGACACTTTGTGTGTCCCATGAAAAAGCGCACGACTATGTAAAATCACTTCTCTCGGGCATTACTCAGCCACAATTCCTGCACCTTAATGCGCTTGAGGCATGCCCCAGGTGCGCCTTTAACAACTATCTTGAGTTATCACTGCTAATGTATAATTTACTGTGACTGCACTTTGAATTCAACCTGTTCAATAGTGTGTGGCACAAAACGTAAAAGTTGTTGCATTCCTCTTGTACATAGTTTGTAAGCTTCAGTCATTTGTTTTCTCATTAGACCAAAAAGTGTTGTTTTAAGATTTTCCATTTGGTGCTTTCATTATTTTGATCAATATTGATATCCGTATGATAGCATCTTGTTTATTTATTTTGATAAGTTTATATGATATTATTATCTTTAGGGTTAAGTGCAAAAAACCCCTCGTTATATACAAAATGTGCAAGAAACACCCCTATTATTTGACAAGTGCATATAAATCCCTGTATTTTCTACATTTGGGGCAAATTGCCACCTAATTGTGAATTTTGACTATTTTTTTTTTATAATAATCCCAAATTGCCCTCTTTGATATCAGCAAAGAAAAAAAAAAATTCATAAACCTCAAATTTACTCTCTCTGTGTTAATACACACACACACATATATATCAACTTCATCCATCTCCGCTATTCTCTCCCTCTTGTCCATCTACTGCCACCACCTTCCCTCACTTTCACCACCACCATGAACACCATCCATGAACACTACCCACCCCTCCACCACCCACCGCCCATTGTTACACCTTTGAACTAGAGTGATGAGATTGCCATAAGCCAGTAGGTTAGGTCTTATGTTAGTGGCTCTCAGCCACTCATCATTAAAATTGGGGTAACCATCCTTTTGCAACTGTTGTTGATTGCTAGAAAGCCATTGTTGGAATTAAGAACTAAAAGAATGCATTGTAATTCTTCAATTGGTTACATGAGAATTGGCTTGAGATCGAGGTCGAGAATGTGCCAAAACTGCCACCTTCTCTCTCTCCCTGCTACCGCCTTCCTATCCATATTTCACTGCCCGAACTCAATCCTCAACGCCTCCAGAACTGCTTTGGCAAGAGCGGCCACCTCACCATCGGCACTCCAGCACAAACACCTTCCAAATTAACTAACCCCCACTGCGTCTGTTTGAGAATTTTCGGATTCATCAGCGGATTCCAATATTTTTTCCGATCACCCATATGAAAGGGTGATCAGAGGCCTCAAGATTGCTTGAGACTGCAAGCAATTGGACTTCTTGGAATCAATCCATTGCAAGAAGCTCTGTTCATTGTGGTCTTTAATTACTAAAGAAAAGAATTGCAAACTCAAGTATGTGAGAATTAAGGTAGTAGTTCTCCGTTCTCAATAAATCAAGTTAATACATATATATATACATATATATATATGTATATATATATGTATATATATACATATATATTTATGTATATATATACATATATATATATGTATATATATATATATATATATATATGTATGTATGTATGTATGTATGTATGCATATACATATATATATATATATATATATATATGTATGTATGTATGTATGTATGCATGTGAGGAATAAAAGAATTACAAAATCAATTGGTGGGGTTCAATTACCAGCCTTGGAATGAGTTACAAGTATATGATAGTCATTGTTACTGGTAGTATCAAGGGGAGAGAAAGTTCTGGCAGGGGTGTTGATACCCAATCTTGATTCTCACTAATAGCCATGGAATGAGTTACGGGTATATGATAGCCATTGCTTTTGCCATTGATGAACTCTTATTTTATTTTTATTTTTTATGTTTTGGCAATTGATAGGGTAGATTTGTCCAATTACCAAATATTTTTTATGAGGAAGGAAATTAAGGTATTAAGTCATCAAA